AATCTCCAAATATTTGGAAATCAACTCACTTGTAAATAACCTATGGTCAGAGAAGAAATCACAAGGGAAATTAGAAAATATTTCAAACTGAATGATGATGAAAATACAACATATCTAAAAGTGTGTGACGCAGCTGAGGCCCAGTGTAGGGGGAAATGTATAATTTTAAGTGATTATATTAGAAAAGAAAAAAGGGTTTAAAATTAATCTTCTTAATTTCCACCTTAAGAAACTAGAAAAAATAGCAAATTATGATCAAAGTAAGTAGAAGGAAAGAGATGATAAAGAGTGGAAATCGATAAAATAGAAAATGGACAAATAATAGAGAAAAATCTGTGAAAACAAAAGCTGGTTTTCTGAAAACAGCAACAAAATTAAACTCCTAGCAAGAGTAATAAAGGAAAAAAGAGAGAGACCATAAATGATCAATATCAAGAATGAAAAAGGGGATATTGCTGCAGATTGTGTAGACATTAAAAACATAATAATAGAAAATCAAACAATTTAAATAGTTGTTTTGTAGATTCCTCAGTTGTTTGTAATAGCTGCTTTGAAGATTCTGCATCCATAATACATGAATTGAGACAGTTTGACTTCTTTCTTTCCAATATGTGTACCTTTTTTTTTCTCGCCTTGTTGAACTGGCTAGGACCTCCAGTACATGTTAAATTGAAGTAGAGAGAGTGGACATTCTTGCTTTGTTCCTGATGTTAGGGGGAAGGCATTTAATATTTCACCACTAAGTGTGATGTAGCTATAGGTTTCCATCATAATTACATTGGGAAGTCATAGTGTTTTACTTGAATGAGTGACATTATCTAATTTACATTTTTTGAAAAACCACTTGGGCTGCTGTATGGAGAATGAATTCTAGGAAGACTAGAATCTGGACTCTTCTCAGGGAGACAAATCCACAGGCTGTTGCAATAGTGGAGGAGAGAGGTATAAGCAAGCGCCTTGGACCAGAGTGATAGCAGTGGAAATGGAGAAAAGTAGTTGAATTTGGCGATATATTTCGGAGATAGAGCTGATAGGACTTGCTGGTTTATTGAATTTGGGAAAAGGAAAGGGGAAACAAAAACAGGGTTATGGCTTAAACAATTAGGTTTATTTTAGATTTTCTTATTCCTGTGAATTTCATGTTTTTATTATTCATCTTCCTCTTTAGAATGGACAATTCAAAGTGGATACAATATTTTTAAAAAATCTACCTTTATGTTATTTAGGATTTTATCATTTTTCATAGGTGTAACATTAAAGAAAGAATAACGACCAATATTTATACTGGATTTTCAGTCAATTTTAGAAATTAGTGTTCTGAACTAAATTTCTGTATCTTTCTTCTTAGGTTTGTCCAAGACTGGTTTTCAGAGAGGATACAAGTGGCCAAAGTGGATTTCTCTACAGTGTTACCACGCTTCATTTCTCTGTATATCTTTTCCTTCCTGAATCCAAAAGATTTGTGTGCAGCTGCTCAAGTCAGCTGGTCATGGAAGTTTTTAACTGAACAGGTTTACTACTTGTCACTTCCTAGTAATAGGGCACAAATACAACTGTAATCTGTAATGAGACTATTGGGGTAGCGACCTTTCCTGCAGACAATAGCTTGAGGGCACCTGAACCATAAGTAACTTACCCTTAAGAGAAAAAATGGGGATAAGTGAAATAGAATAATTTATTTCTGTAAATAAATA